GTATTTGCATCCTCTCACCAGAAGAGGAATTTCGCCCCCAGAAAGGTCAGATCTCAACCATCTTCTCTCTTCTAGTATCTTGCAACATTAGTATCTCTTCTGCTCCAGATGAGCTCTGGTGGACGCTCCTCCCATCGGGGATTTTCACAGTTAAATCCTACTACTCCTTCGTCAACTCAAGGGGCATCAAATCCAAATTCTTTAATACGATCTGGAAATCTTCTATTCCAACCAAGGTTAAAGTTCTATTCTGGATTATCTCCAACAAGAAGCTGAACACGAAAGCAAACTTGATCCTAAAGGGCTGGACATGTGACCCAAGATGTCCTTTTTGCAATTCAGGTGTAGAAACCCACGATCACATTTTTATTAAATGCTCATTTGCTCGTGCCATCTGGTCCTCCATCCTTCCCTCTCTTCCCTCAAACTGTTGGCCTCAGACTGATACTGTTCCACAAAACTCCCAATTTGTGCACGGTTATTAAAATTATTTGAAAGATTCTGTTGCCTTGTACTTGCTGGTGGATCTGGTTCAGTAGAAATGCTCTTATTTTCAAGGAAAGTCAAGATTCTGTTGCCTTGTACTTGCTGGTGGATCTGGTTCAGTAGAAATGCTCTTATTTTCAAGGAAAGTCAATCTAATCCTCTTCACATTGCTCTGGTGGATCTGGTTCAGTAGAAATGCTCTTATTTTCAAGGAAAGTCAATCTAATCCTCTTCACATTGCTTCTAATATTAGGAGATATACAATGTTTTGGACAGATGCCGAAGAGGAGAGGCTGGCGAGGAGACTCCGCAAGGCTACTTCAAACCTTTGAATCCAGGAGCTTGCAAACAAGAATGTCAAGGCCTCTGGGGACAACTTTTCCCCATGCTCTCTAACCCAGGCCTCACCATAAATTCTGCTGGATAAGGATATTTTACCAAATGTTGGAAAAACTGCTGTTGTTCCTTCCTTTTTCTAGTTTGTTCTGTTCTCTAGTAGGCTGCTATCAACTCTTTATGTAAGTATGTAATATGTACCTTCCAACTGTAGTATCGCTGCGGGTTCAGTTTGGTAGGTGACGACATATGTCCGCTCCTTATCTGCTGCACTCTCAGTGGTTCTGCACCTAGTTGTGATGCTTTTTTGTATCTGTTTTGGTTCTTAATAATATTCCTATATGAGCAGGGCCTCCAACCCTGCTTCTTCAGTTAAAAAAAAAAGTGATTATAAAAATTTATCCTACTTTATTTTATCAAAATATCTCGCTCCAGAAATTTATTCGTATTTATCCCATTAAGATATCACACTAGTAAAAAAATTATTCTACTTTAATAACTATCTCATTTCGCATCAAAATGTTCCAAGTGACTACCACCCCCTTAGTCAATAAAATTGTCTAACTTAGCACTAAAATTGGAACACATATAATTCTAATTTCTCATTTTTGACTACACCCCCGAACACGTGTAAGAAGAAATGTCATCTAGATGCTGTTTGCTGTCGAAACCCAACAGCAAATCCCTCCTCCTACAAGCGTGGGGAGCCGTCACATCACTTCACTTCCTGCTCCCAAGAGACATCTTTGACCACTTAACACCAACGGAGCGGTAACCTTTCCCGGCCCTACCACCATTTACCCTCACCTCCGGTGTCCCGACCTCCCCGGTGCTGAAGCCAAAGGGGGACAAGACGTCTCAGGGCGGGCGGTGACCGGACCCCAGAACCCAAAGGTCTAACACCTCATCATTGTGCTCTCTTTTATTCTCTCTGCGCGGGGGTTTCTACTGTGCACGAAATTTTACTTTCCATTTTCAGTGTTCGGCTTCCACTGTTGTAGTACAGTTCTGGCAGCAGACAAGAAGGCCCGTTGCCAAACACAGTAATTACTTGAGAAGAGAAAAAATTAGGGTCAATTTTACAAAACCAAGCAGAATTTTGGGGGGGTGGTGCGTATAAACCTCATTATAAACTTTATAGAGGATGAGGAATTGTTATTTCATATTCTGACATGTCCTTACAGGTTGAGTGTATAATGTGCTGAGACCTGGAGCGTAAGGATGATATTAGAACACTACGTAGAAATGGATAGTCTATATCATTCGTGGATGGTTTCAATGTTAGTTTACGAATTACAACCCTTCTATTTATGATGTAGATCAGCTTATTCTTATAAAGAATGGTTCTAATAGGATCCCTACTGAAACCTGAAATCATACAGTGATATCAAAATTTTTGACATCTGTATTAGTTATTGGTAAATAAAATTGAAATCTGAATTGCTCTAATACAATGATTATTTATCAAGTTACCAAATATTTCAAGAATGAGCAAGGAAAATATTTTTTCCGTACGCAAAAAGAAGAAATAATATAAAACTAGGTATAGATAGCTGAGCCTAGGGATCAAAAAAATAGGATTGGGATCCTCTTCTTATCAATAGTGTTTCCTAATATCTCTTCATGCATCTCCACCATTCATTTTGTGGGTAAGTACAAAAGCAAAGGTGGGTCCCACAAAATGAATGGTGAAGATACATAAAGAGATATTAGGAAACACTATTGATGAGGAGAGGATCCCGATCCAAAAAAATACTAGCAAGGAGGATATCGTTTTCAATCAAGTCACTTCTCGTCACTGTCTCCCATGCATGAACAGAAGCCGAACAGTACACACTCTCAAACTCTCAACAATAGCCAATTTCCCCAATAAACAAATCAAAAATAGCCTAACATTTAAGAATGGGCCCATCAACTCTGACCCCTCCTCTGTCCATTACGAACTCCACTAAGGGGCTGTTTGCTTGCCAAAAAAAAAGAAGGAAATCAAGGAATAGGAAACCTATTTTCTTAAAAAATTGTTTTATGGTTGTTTGGTTGGCTAAAAAAAGAAGGAAATCAAATAATAGGAGATGAGTTGTCTCAATATTATTGGATGATGTGGGTATTTTTTTAAGAAAAGTTGTTTTGAGGTTGTTTGGTTGGTTAAAAAAGAAGGAAATCAAAGAATAGGAAACATATTTCTTATAAATAGGTTCTTCTCTTGTGTTTGGTTCATTCTTAAAAATAGGAGATGAGATGAGATGAGATGAGTTGTCATTATATTATTGGATGATGTGACCCACACTTAAGGAAATCAATTTCCTTGTTTTTTTGGAGGAAATGGGTGGAGATGAAATGGAGATGAGATGAGATGAGTTGTCATTATATTATTGGATGATGTGACCCACACTTAAGGAAATCAATTTCCTTGTTTTTTTGGAGGAAATGGGTGGAGATGAAATGGAGATGAGATGAGATGAGTTGTCACAATATTATTGGATGATGTGGGTGATTTTTAAAGATGAGATAGGATGGAGATGAGATGAGTTAGATGATGTGACCCGTTTCTTTTATTTGGTTTATTTTATTGGATGATATGAGATGAGTTGTTGGATGAAAATAATATTTTATTGGATGATGTGGATGAGTTGTTGGATGAAAATAATATTTTATTAGATGTTGTGGGTAAATTTTAGGGATGGAAATGGTGGAAATTGAAATTTTGGAGATTTCCAAGCTCCAATTTCCTATTCTTGGGTTTTTGGAAACCAACCAAACAGCCCCTAAGGGCGGTTTGTTTTCCTGTTTTTGAGTGAAAGATTTTTTTAAAAGTCTGTTAAAAATGTTAAAAGTATTATTTTTTGGCAGTTTTTTTAATCAAAATCGTCTTTTAAAAAAAAATTTGGCTAAAAGTCTATTAAAAAGTGCTACTTTTGACAAGTTTTCAAAAGAGTCTTTCCCTCAAAAACAAGGAACCAAACAGAAGCAATTCTTTGACAAGCTTTTCAAAAGAGTCTTTCCCTCAAAAACAAGGAACCAAACAGAAGCAATTCAATAACCCCCCCACCACCCACCCCCAACTTCAAAACAAATTCCCAAAAACATCAAACCTTCTCTAATAACCATCGGAACTTTCAACTTCAAACCTATAGTCGTACATGGAACAAATCAGCTTAAGTTCACATCAACTTGGGAGGGGAAAAAAAAAGACAATGGCAAAGTGGTTTTATTAGACCAATTTGAACAACTAGTTTTATTTTGGTCATACATCCCTCTTAGTCCAACCAAAACTAAATTAGTTTAGATTAAAACTTATAATTTATCAAGTAGCTGTCAAACTGACTCATGGGTGTGTTTGGCAACTTCGTAAAACTTGTTTTAGTTGATATAATTTTGGTCCGAAATCTAGGTTTTAGTGTGGCAAATCCGTTTTCTTTTAGATTCTAATTCTAAAATTTAATTTAACTAATTTTTGGGACTAATTGTTACATGGATCAACTCAGATCCCGTTAAGAAAAAGCCGGTCCGAGCACAGTTTATTTCAGTCTCAGGTTGAAAACTAAATCGGATAATAATTATTTAAAAGCGGACAGATTCGAAATCAATAAGCAAATCAAGATAAATGAATTAGTTTAAGGGGCTGTTTGGTTCGCTATTATAAGGGGTGGAAAACTCAGAAAACCCTTCCACGTCAGATTTTTAGTCCTTCACGTCAGCTTTTTTGTTTCCGTCCATTTCTTTGTGCCGTTTTGGTTCGCTCGGATGGAAGAGGGAAAACTCTGCTGAAATCGTCGTCAACTAAGATTTTTTTTCTCTCCAATTTCCTTCCCTAACCAAGTGAAATTGATAAAAACTCTGTCACGTCAGATTTTTTTCCTTCTCTGCTTTGTTTACAAAAGTTTTTCTTTTTTTTCTATGCGAACCAAACACAAGAAAAATAAATACATTGGTTTCCCACTATTTTTATGTGCGAACCAAAACAAAACAATCTATTTCTTAGAAAAGTTTGAAAAACTCAAAACTTGTGTTTCTTTACATGGAATTGCATTTCTCTATATCAAGGAAACGGACCAAACAACCCCTAAATACAAAAATCCAATAAACAAATCGAAAGCAAGGGCCCATCAACTCTGACCCATCCTCTTCCCTTTATTTATTAATCAAACTCTCCCCTCTTCACTCATCCATCCATCGCTCACAAAAATCTCGATGGCTCCGTCTCTGCTCCTCCTCTCTCTCCTCCTCTCTCTCCTCCTCCCATCGAACTGCAGCCCACAACCAATGCAAGCCCAAGAGCTCTCCTCCCTATTCAACATAATGGGCTCCCTTCTAGTGGACGGCCCATCATGGGCCCAACTCCACCCTCACCCATGCACGGACACTCCATGGCCAGGAGTCACGTGCGAGCTCGTCCTCAACCCCGACGGAGTCCAAGACCCCTTCCTCCACGTCACCAGGATCCACATCGGGCCGGACTTAGCCACCCCACCTTGCAAGCCCACGGCCCATTTAAACTCCTTGAGGGGCCTCCCCTTCCTCAAAACTCTCTCTTTGTTCAGCTGCTTCGTTTCTCCCTCTAATGCCACTCTCTCCCCTTCGTTGTTCTCCAATTCTTCATCTCTTCAGCAATTAGTGCTTAAATCAAACAATGGGTTAGTTGGAGAGATCCCAAAGAGTTTGTCAAACTTGAGGAATTTGAGGGTCCTTAGCCTCTCACAAAACAATCTTACTGGGCCTATTCCTAAAGAAATCGGTGGGCTGGCCCGCTTGCAGCAGTTGGATCTGAGTTATAACAGTCTGGCCCAACAAATACCGGAGACGCTCTCTGGGCTGACCAGTTTGACCATCTTTGACTTGAGCTACAACAAGCTCGAGGGTCAACTCCCAAACTCTCTCGGCCGACTCTCATCGCTTCGAAAGCTGGATCTCAGCTCAAATCTGATCTCTGGGAAAATTCCCTGGCAAATTGGCGAGCTAGAGAATTTGGCTTTGCTTGACTTGGGCCGTAATAATATTTCTGGCCCAATTCCAGAAACCCTCTCTGGGTTAAAAAACTTGGAGTATTTCTTAATGGAGAGCAACCCGATAAGAGCTCAAATTCCTCTATTTCTTGGTGATTTGAGGAGCCTGACTGTAATTGGGCTTTCTGGGTGTGGGCTTATTGGGCCGATCCCGGCCCAATTAGGCTCGCTTGAGAACTTGGCTGCATTGGCGTTGGATAGAAACAAGCTCAACGGGTCGGTTCCAAGAAGTTTGGGTTCGCTGTCCAAATTGGGTCAGCTTAATTTGAGTCAGAATGAGCTCAGTGGTGAGATTGGGCTCGGTCAGGATTTTGTGGTCAGGATGGGGAACAGGATTGATCTGAGGGAAAACAAGGGGTTGTGTGCAAAATTTGAAAACAACAGGGTCTGGGTGAATTTTGAGGCCCCACCCTGTGTGGGCCCACAGTTTGGGAGGGGGAGAGGTTCTGGTGTGGGACCATCTGAGAGAGAAGCGGAGGTCAGTCTGTGTTGTTTGGTTTGTTTTGAGAGGATAGTTTTTGTTTGTAGCTTGGTGGTTCTGTTTTTCGTAACATCAACTTTCTCATAATAATTTGTCTGGCGAAATGTTTGCTTACTATTCTTTGGGGTGTTGTACTATATTTTTTTGACTGTGGAATGATTGTTTTTCAATTGCAAGGAGAGAATCCAGTAGGGGTGGGCATGTGCCGGGCTAGTTCACCCCCTGACCCGGCCCTTTGGGTTTAAGGCCGGGCCAGGTTCGATTCGGGTCCGCCCGGGCCGGGTCCGATTCGGGTCCGTCCGGTACAGAGTACGTCGGACCTATTTCTCTAATCTTAGTTTTGGGTCGTGGGTCGGCCCATGGTTTTTTAATTTTTTTTTTAAAATTTCTAAACTATATTAACTTTGTATTAATATCTATTAGATTATACTTTAATTATTTTTTTATTTTATTTTTTATTTAAAATGATATACAACACACATTGTACAAAGATAAACATCACATAGAAAAAACATAGTAAATACAAAGATATACATGGTCCGAAGACTTTAAAAGAAGACCTACATCCATAGAATGTTAATAATTTTCCTTTAGTTTAAATTTTAATTATAAATAAAAGAAGAAAAAGAAAAAATATTAACTAATAACCTACAAACTAAAAATTAATAGTTAAAATTCAGGGTTGGATTGGGCCGGGTCGATGGTGGACCGGATTAAGGTGGGTCGGGCTTATTTTTCTAGTCACAGGTCTGGAGCCAGAGTCAGACCAACTTGTGACTCGTATTAGCGATGAAGCCGGGTCGGGCTCGCCGCTACGCGGTCAGATCACGGGTCATTATGACTTATGCGAGCAAGACAGGCAGCTTCGCGGAGTAACTAGCTCGCGCCCAACTCTAGAATGCCAAGTGGGTTTTTGTTTATATATATATATACTATATATATATGATATATATATATTATATATATAATATAATATATATATATAATATTATACTAAATAGTATATATATATAGAGAGAGAGAAGAGAGAGACGAGAGAGATGAGAGAGAAGAGAGTTATAGGGTGTTTGGTTCAAAAGTCGCTGCTGTGGAATTCATTATAACTTTGTTCGATTACAACAAATTCGAAAGAATAATCTTTTTATAAGACTTTTTCTACACAACAAATCAAAAATTACAACTCTTGAGAAACAAACACGAAAATCGTCTATCAATTCTCGTTTTCGTGGGACTTTGCCTGTGCCGGGAACGCTTTGGTTCGTGGACCGCCGATTCACAGATCGTGAAGAGGGGGCTTATGATTCTAACTTCGTTATCGAAGTAGAAATTGAAACGATATCTTATCGAAGTAAGATAGTCGTTCTTCTTAAAATCAAGTCGAAGCTTAATTTCAAGGCGTTGCAAGAAAAGAACTCAAATCTGCTCTCTCTCTGCTCTGGAATGCTCTAACAAATGCTCGATCCTCGTCAGAAGTGACCCTAGGGGGGTATTTATAGCCTCAAGGGTCAGTAACTGCAAAAACTTAACAATCGAAGAAGTCAGTACGGCGAGACAGTGTTTACTGTCTCGCTGGGCGAGACAGCGTTTGCTGTCTCGACCCGCGAGACAGTAAATTTGCTGTCTCGCTCAGCGAGACAGTAAATGCTGTCTCGGAAAATGGCAGTTTCTCGCTGTAACTGTTCTCCCACGTTTCAAACTCCGTTATTTTGGCAGTTATCCACGTGATTTTCGCCCATGATGTTTCCCACGTCCCTTGGCAGTTAATGGACACGTGTAGGGCAGTTACAAATGTAGTTTTGACTATGCAAAGACTGTCTCGCTGGCGAGACAGCAAAGACTGTCTCGCTGGCGAGACAGTTCATACTTGTTTTGAATTTTCCAAAACAGTATGAAATCCTTTCTTGTGAATTTTTGAGTGATCTTCTCTATGCTTGGGATATTTATTAGCATTTTTTGACGCCTACAGATACCCCCTCCAAAGTATTCCAGACTCATTCTTTTCTGCTACTCCGCCAAAAGCGTTTTAACCATTCGGGTCACTCCTGATCCACCACCATTTGTCCCCAAGAATAATGACCCATCCATAGCATCTAAAGAGTCTTTTGGGTAATCTTTTCTCCCGCTGCCGCTAACTGGTTCTCACGGTGTTGGCTGCCACTATCTTTCTCATTCTGGAGGTATATTATCTTGTCCTAAGATACCGGATGAAGCCCCGACAATGAGCTCTTTCACTGGAGCCTGGGTTGGCTTCCTTCCCAATAAAACCCACAATGAATACGCTCGTGGTTTTCGGTTAACTTCCAGAACATCTCACGGTCAACCCGAAGGTTCCTGAACGATTCGTTTAGTAATGAAATGTCCCGAGGGATAAAAGGCAGATCATAAGGAATGGAGACCCTGATTCTGGTTGCAAGCCATTCGCGCAGGCTGGCAGAAAGCAATCTTCGGAATCTTTCACCGGAATCACCAAACAAGAAATCTGGTTCTTATCATTGATGTCGAGTCTTGCTCCGAGATCTAAAAGGGCGATCTTTTGTGTATAATCGTTCGTATGAACGACAACTTACCTCCTGGTATTAATTTCTCATCACTTCCGTTATTACATCAGATTTAACACTGGGGAGAAGGATTCAACTTAAGGGATCCCTCGAATAAGAGTGGGTCCACGTACTCCGGCCAGGTAACCACATCAGCAAGTTAATTTGTAGAAGGACATCGGACTGATAAAAAGAGGCATACACACTAAATTTGTGTAAGTGTCATCCTAAAATTTTAGAGAAAAGCTGGTTAGTTATCTTCATTTCTAAATGATATAGTCGTTATTCATTAAACAGGTGTTGACTGATCTATCCACCATTAGATAAAGGAGGTATGCGGGCATATACGGCATACCAAACCTTTCAATACATTACTGGGGATGATATAAATCGCGCCCCTGTCGTATTATGAAGTGTGTTTGTCCCAAGCAAAAAACACTTTTAGCGTCGATTTTTCCCCTCAAAGGAGTGATACCAGCTCTTCTCGAAGGTACCTCAAAGGATACAAACGAAGTACTCTGCAAGCAAAAATAGGGAAACATACATATGGAATTGACGAAATTACGTATTATAAATTCGTGAAAAAGGGTGAAAGAATATACCCTCCACGTGAGGGTGCAAGCAGGGCAGCCTCCATCAGGGCTCTAGAACAGTTCGGTCGGATTCCTTTCCTCGAGTTCTTTACGCAGGCGACATGACGAGCAAATGAGTCTACAAGGAAATGCACAATGAAAATAGCAAGATTTCTAAGCATGAAATCGATACAAATATTTGGCTGAAACAATGGCTGCACAGTCCCAGTTGAAAGAAAACTCAAGATTTTGAGGGAAAAGATGCGAACAAGACTTTGAAATCAAGTGAAAATCTCTTCAATCGAAGACACCCAAATCAGAACGAAGAGAAGAGAACGAGGTGAGAATGCTGTCGAAAATCGCTCAAAAATCGCTCAAAAATCGCCAAATCCGACGTGAAAAACCCTATAAAACCCTAGAGTCCGACTTTATAGCCTCTGCCTGCTGAGCGAGACGAACTTCATGTCTCCGGAGCGCAGACAGAAAAACTCTGTCTCGACGAGGCGAGACAGAAAACCGTGTCTCGCCGAGCGAGGACAGAAAAACACTGTCTCGCCGAGCGAGACAGAAAAATATGGTCTCGCCCAGTGGAGCACAGCAAACTCTTCTTGTTTTCACTCCATTGAAACAGTTAGACTATTATCTGGGTCAAAAAGCAAATGTAGATACAAATGAATTACTTCCAATGGGGTACACGAGTCCTAATATGTATTCCCCACCCTCAACACGGATCGTTCTGGGAATATTATCTGATATTCTTAAGGCATAACCTGAGGAACTTCTCAATGGATGATATCAATTTCAATGGTAAACGCTGAATTCACGCAAGAGGGGGGGCGGCAAGTAATTAACTTCAATTCAAGATCTCGACACGGTCAAGCGATAAACGCGAACGCCGGGAAAACATTAGCAGTTATTCCTACGAAAGAACTGGATAGACTAACAGTAGAAGAGTCAAACATTGAAGCCATTTACAAGCTCCTTTCATACGATCTATTCAGCCAAGCATTGAAGCGATCGTAAGATAAAATTTCTTATCCAAGTATCTCATGCTCCTCGTATAAAAGAA